GAAAATCTAGTATTTTTTAGCAGTAACATGAATCATGGCGTATTGTTGAAAGGGATGAGTTTTTTTTATATTCCGAGTTCAATCGAATTTTTTGTCCCCGTATTTTGTTAAAACATCTTTTTTCGGATTACCCGTATTGATTCTTTATTGTTCTCCACTTTTTAAATAAGAACACCATTGTCCTATCTTGCTCTTGAAGTAAAAACGTAATGTATTTTTCCAACAATTTTATTAATCATATATTAAGTACGAGTCATAGATCAAATCTAAAAATAAAACTGATAATTATTTTTGAAAAACAATCGCTGTTTTTGCCCGACCCAGTTGTTGTATTTTTCCACCAAAACAAGGTTGTATATAATTTATATTAAAGCCGATTACACTACGCACATAATAGCACTGGCTATTAATAGGACACATTCATTTTTTTGTATTGTATTATGTAGTCTGTATACAGAAGACATTTATGTACGCGTTCATAGTTTATTGCACTTCAACATGACCTGAACAGTTGAGACCTAGTGGAAAATTTTAAGTTCTGCTAAATAATTTGTTGTTAAGAATTTTAGCATACGTTTTATGCGCAGACGTCGTATGATATACGCAGCACACCGGTTATGGGTAATGGGCATCTAGACTTTTTTCTTTGCTAAGTAGAGGTATAAGAATAATAATGATATAGCTTTAGCATTTTCTCGTCTAAAAAATCAGGTCCAATTATATATACACGACGTGTTTGGGAGAATTCATCTGCCATCTTGGTAAATTATTGTTAAGCATAACGCTACCACTTATATACTCCTAATTAATGCTGATTTATAGATTAACAGTTCATTGCCCCCTATTTTTTCTGATATTTAATAAAATACAATCGAGGTCAATCATATTTTAACCGGTATTTTTGTGTGGAATAAAAAAGTGACTTGCTTGACAGAAGTCGTAGCACATTTGTCTTTGGAACAAAACGGTATAATATACGAACTAAAGATACAAAGGTGAATTGAGAACTAGTTTGAAAGTGAATTTGACGTAGAAATAACGTGATATTTTGTTTATAAAATAACCCAATAATTAATATTTATGATAAATATTATACATTAATGAAGTTTGTGAATGGTGATCTTACGAATCGCCTTTGACATTTCTTACAAACTATATCCATTGAATGTCAACACATAAATATTTTTATCAAGTTAATTAAAACAGATTTAATATTTTATAACACTGGTTTATTGACGTAGGCCTATTAAAATCGCAAAAAAAATGTTTAGAATATATACAGGATATTTTTAATGCTGAATATTGAATAATTTAAAACTGGAATAGGCCGAACAATAAAATAAAATCCATTTAAAATTTTCCATATTGATATTATTATTGTCAAATTGTCCTTGCGTCATATTTTGCTGGTACAGGGTGTTCGAATGTCAATTTATACAGACTAGTCATCTACCTCGCCTAGTGTTGGAATTTGATATGTATCATACAACTACCAGATTGAGCTTTAAAATCTTTGATATTTTAAGTGACATGCAACATTAATATCAACGAATTATTGCAAAATTGCTTGAGGAAAATCCAAAGGAACTAATGCATACGATCAATCATACGTCAGTTATTACAAACATGATTGCTGTGGAATAATAGAGCTTATTTAGGTTAAATGAAATGTGATATTAGTTTCTACATATGGATAAAGGATCTTGTCTTGTGCTGCCATGAAACAACGCGACATAATATGTACACAAATAATTATATCCCTTTTACTATTTAAGAGAGGATTGAGTGATCAAGAACATAATTAGGTCATGCATGAACATAACATAACATAACATTACGCCTTTTATCTCAGAAGGGGTAGGCAGAGGTACACATTATACCACTGTACAATATAACACCCACTTTTCACTGTTTATGTTATAAGTCCCATGTAATCCTATTGCCATATACCGGGCACAACTCCAGACTCCGTGCTACTACTAAGATTTTTTTTAAACCCAGTAATACTTTGCCCGACCCGGTAATCGAACCCGAGACTCCTTGCCCGGCAGTTATATTTATTAAGTCATGCATGACTTAATAAATAAATGATTTACCTTTTTCATATTGTGATTTTTACGTATTTTTACGTAAAAAAAATTACATTCAATCTGATTACATAAACGATTCACCAAATAACAGGATATGTGTTCAGAACTTAAAGTGTCAAAATTCATAAGTTTTCCTTTCCTTATATGACTGTATTGTCTGCAAAAAATGGTTTTCTCGAAATATAACGGTATTCTATTAAAAAGGTATCTAATCGCAGTTTGGAAAATACCCCAAAGACCGACTAAGGTCGATGATGTGAATCAAAGTATGATATATGTATACATATATAAAAATGAAACCCGTTTCCCGTTGTCACGCCATAACTTGAGAACGGCTAGACCGATTTGGCTGATCTTTTTTTTTGTTGTGTTTGTTATTATACGCAAAAGGTTTTTAAGATAGAAAAAGTCCTGAAAATCCTACGCGAACGGGGGAAAATGGAATTGCGCGTACGAAGTCGCGGGCAGAGGCTAGTTATAGATATAATTCATTATCCTTAAAAACATGTATAAGGAAAAAGAATTCTTCGTCGTTTACACCTGTTACCATCTTTTTGCAGATTGACTCTCTTACGTCACTTCGAATTAATTATTGCTTCTCTTTGCGATTCAATTACAAGGTTCAGTAAAATTATGAACCTTGTTGTCTTTCCGATATATTGTCTGCACTGATTTACCAACCGGTCCAATAAGTGGGTCATAGTCCAATGGTTAAGGTGGTTACTTTATGTATATCCTAAAAAATGTCGCATATTACAAGTATGATCAAGGCGATTACGCGCGCATAAATGCTTACGGTGTTTTTAAGTGAATCCACGTACAAGCAATTAGCCTTGGATTCGAAGTGTGGACGGTATTTCAGATGTTTATAAATCGACAAACAATCAACATGAAGTGTTTGATTCCTGGTTTTTGTTATTTAAATACACATAACATAGTACAAAAGTCCTCCAACAGAGATATTGCTATGTACAAGTTCGCCACATGTCGTCAAATAAGTTTTTAACTAGGTTATTCTAATAGAAAAATGGAGTTAGCTGCGATAAATATTGGGACATCTTGCCGTCGATTTGTATAAACGCGAGACCATATGCTTATTTTTATTTAATTCGTGAAGGCTACGCACTAACTAAAACTTAAGGATTCTCACTATTTGTAATAAATACTAATATTCTCAAGTTAATTCTATTTCAACATCAAATTACATTTGTAGCTAATAAAAAAATATTCCATTATCATACGATGATTACTCATACTATCAATTTTTAGAATATTTAAAGTTGTATATGAAATGTAAGCGCATTTAATTTAATTTCACGTTTAACAAAATCAATTTTGTATGTAACCGCGTGAAGCGTATTGATTGTATTGAGAAATTTACAATAACAATTTTGCCTTGAAACTCACGTTTTTTGAATTAATGTCCGATAATACTCAAATGTAGGTAAAAGGTCATCACATATTATAATGTGAATAAGTAACATTTAATATCGGCACAATATTTTAAAATAGTAGACGTGTAGTAGGTATCTACCATTTTGGTTTCATAACAGGTACGAAAATAATTATACGCTGAACTTTTGTACATTAGCGCGCAAATTCATTATCTGATAAAGGTAGGTGGGTTCCCACAACGAATAATGCAATTATTAATTACAGATTTTTTTGTATTTTGATTTCTATGACAAAAATACTGATAGTAATAAGCTAGTCATACTTATTTTAAAATGACTGGCTTGAATTGACTCCTTCCATTTCAAATGACATTCAAAGACATCAAGGTGCTCTCCTAACCTAATTTTTACAATTGTGTGATTTTTAAGATAATTTAATATTCGGCCTTGCTAACTGCGTGTGTAAGTTGTTAACATATAGTATCATAATTAAGTACCTAAATAAATGCTACATAATTTCACAACAAAGGCTACGTCAACTTTTCTCTGCCGTTGAAGGATACTGCCCACTAGGGTGGGGCACAGTCGACTGACAACATTAATTTAAGATATTGCAAAATGGACATAGTATGCGTAGTAATATTTTGGGTGGGAGCGCTCAGAAATGATTCAGATGAACTTCTTTCACGTCAACAGAATAATATTTTATTCACCTATTATTTCAATATAAAAATAACTTTCAAAATGTGTAAGCCTTGATATTTCATTCGCTGAGGTTTTTGAAAAAGATCGCGACTGTATTACTTTCAAAAGTTTCGTACACAAATCGCAATTAATTGAAATAAGGACTTGATATTGAACTGCGGAAGTAACAAAGCGTCGGTATGACGCCTACATGCACTCACGTATAAATTATTCAAGTTTCCGCAGATAACAAATCTGAACTGTCAAATATAATAGAAGCCTGTCGCGCCTATGCTGATAATTGTTCATGTAATGAACTACTCGTTAGCAGTTGAGGGTCATGACTCGTTATGGACAAGTGCTGGACGACCGAGTTAACTAGATGACTGCCAGTCGTGTCGTCGGCGGCGGATATTTCGGGTGCAAATTACGTTCGCTGTTAAGACAAGCGAAAGCTTCAGTCGCATTGATTCCTCAGTTTCTATCGGTTCGCTAACTTTAAATAAATATTAATAGGTACTGTTACATTAAACTGCATTAAGGCTCACCTCTATTAAGATATTACCATTAATTTGAGCACGACATGCTCCGCTGAGACGATTGGCGAATCGGTTCGGCACCTGGTCCACCCTGACATTCGGTAAACTTGACGCTCGGCAGTGAGCGGCCAAACTTACTATTATGTCCAAAAACGCTCATTCTGCAATCGCGATACGGTGTGAACGCACCTTTAAAATTAATGTAATCCAAACAAAAAAAAAATGTGATCGTGTTTACTTAGAGTTCGTAAAGCAAGTTTTGTAAATAAGTTGTTGTGATTGTTGCAGTGAAAATGGAGGCGCTGAGTAGGCTAGTCGAGGGCTACCATGACTTGATGGACAACAAGAGTGACCAGAGGGTGAAAGACTGGTTTCTGATGTCGTCGCCCTTCCCCACGCTGGCGATATGTCTCACCTATGTGTTCACAGTCAAAGTAAGTACAATAATATACTGTGACTACGGTAATATGTTAGTATAATGATTTTGCGTCACTTGGATCGATTAACAATTGATATCGCGTCACGGAAGACAAATTAAACATCATTAAGAATGTTTCCACTGGAACTTGCCGCCATTATTAGTAGTGGTTGCGTAACGTATTACCTTCCAATTAAACAACATGACATTTGAACGTAACGATCATTCACTTGTTTTGATATTTTTTGATTTGTTTTTTTTTTTAACAATAGCTGTAACATGACTATTATCCTTTTTGCCAGGTGCTGGGACCGAAGTTTATGGAAAATAGAAAACCGTTCGAGTTGAAAAAGATATTGATATACTACAACTTGTTCCAAGTAATATTCAGTATATGGTTGTTCTACGAGGTAAATATTGTTATTATTTCACTAAATACATACTTGTGTATATAGGATTTCTATAAACTGATGAGTGGATGTTTGTTTTAGAGTTTGAAGAGCGGTTGGTTCACCACGTACAGTTTTCGGTGTCAACCTGTTGACTACTCGAGGTCTCCAGAAGCGATGCGGGTAAGAAAACCTTCGATAATTACTTTCCTAAACCTGTTTGCAATGTTTACGTTCAAAGACAGAATTTTTCATTGAAAAATATTGTGTGAATGGTAATTTTATGTTCAACCTACGGAGTATAAGTTTAATTGCAATTACAACCGGAAAGGTTTAAGGACATAATAAAATAATTAAGTGTAATTCAACTAATTAGTGCATCTAGATCTATCTAACCATAGAGCCTCATCCGCTAGTCCTTATTACTTGTATGTCGAACTTAAATGTTCCTTTATGCGAGGAAGTAACCGATAATGGCTGTGAAAAATTTATACTAGGTAATTACATGTTTATTTTATGCAATTTAATTGCAATTACACTGTATGAGTCACTAATCCTTTGTTGTAATCAATCGATTTAAATAGTTAAGTGATTGTATTACACCTTACTATGTTTATAGAGGCTATTGAGTTGTTTAGGCATTATGGTTTATATCTTACGTATAAAGTAAATAATGGAATATTTTATTCCAACCTAATTGCACTAATAAACGTCTCATCTAGAAAAACACTTCCATTCATTGCCTGAGTAATATCAGCAAAATCTATTTATATAAATACCGTTGTCACGCCATAACTTGAGAACGGCTAAACCGATTTGGCTGATTTTTTTTTGTTGTGTTTGTTATTGTCAGAAGGTTCTTATGACAGAAAGTCCTAAAAATCCTACGGGAACGGGAGAAAACGGGATTGCGCGTACGAAGTCGGGTGCAGAAGCTAGTACTAAATATACCTACACAAACAAACAAAAAGTATTGTTACGTAGTTTTCTATATTTGTCTATGAGGATAATGTATAAAGATAAAGATTTTTATGGTTCACTGAATAGTTTCGTTTTGTCGATCGTACCATTGCATACTTGCATCAATTAAGGCGAGTTGTCCATAGATCTTACATGTGTTAGGTGAACCGAGGTTGTTTGCCTTCAAGTTCATTCGCATTGGCATGTAATTACCGTACGCGGTGCCTATGTACCGCCGGCTTTTTATCTACTATTACAATTATATGTATTAACACGAAATAATAAGAGCTTACGGATATATCATTACTTTGTTGTGATGTTTGTTGTAGAAAAAACTGTGTTAATTTATGACCTGCAGTTTAGAGTTCTTTTTTAACTTAATCTGAGCAATTCACTGTATTATGCTGAGATATTTTTTACTTTTATTAATGCTATGTTTTGCGCGATCCTTCAACATAAACTTATAACTATAGATATACCTACTAGGGTGTTCAATTAAAAGTAGATGTATCATTCTCTGTCCATCCTTTCTGGGAAAAACAGACATTATGACGCAGTGCACTTATATTCATCATATATTAGGTATAATTAAAGTAGATATAACTATAAATTTCCAATAATAAAGTTACGGTTTCCATGATTATAGCTTAGCATGTTATTACAATTATTATTTCCTATGTAATATATATACATGTATCGAAGTAATTGATATTCTTTTGTAGTTCTAAGTTATTATATCTAATACGCCAACATATAAGTAGGTAGGTAAATACTTAGACATGGTCATATACCTACATTCGTCTAAGTATATAAATCGACTAGCTGTTGCCCGCGACTTCGTCCGCGTATGACTGATGGCAGAATTTATGCTTTTGAATTAGTCTTTATCAAGGGATATCCTACGGTAACGAATGTCATCAGAATTGATTAAGTACCTGGTATAGGGCTCCTCTCCCGTAGATGATAGCGAGATAATATGTAGCCTATATGTTGACCCGTCCTGTTAGTAATATTCATACAAATATTGAAGTAAATCCATGCAGTACTTTTTGAGATCATCCCGGACATACATATAGACAAACAGACAAAAATTCCAAAAACCATATTTCTTCTTCTTCGGTACCATATTTCGGCTTCGGTATCGATAGTAAATCACACAACACGTATTCTTTAAAAAAATATTAAATATACAGATTTGACTTATCTACGATTTTATATATGTAGGTACAGATTTTATTTAAAAGTAATACTAGAATAGTGATTTATATTTTAATTTACAGTATTATTTCGTAATTTAAAGCCTAATATTTAAGCATATTTATGACTTGATTATATAAAAAGTACTTACGATTTTCTTTTCTTTCTTTTACAGACAGTCCACGGTTGCTGGTGGTACTATTTCTCAAAATTCACAGAATTTTTCGATACGGTAAGTTCATGAAATTGTACTTAAATCTTTCGGCGTTTGACTTTGACCCTTTAGATGCCAGGTGTTCTGTTCTAATAGGAAGCTAAAAAACCCATAATACACGTTGAATCATTTTCACATAAATTTACATTTCATTAAAAATAAAAAATGTGTTTACTGACACAGAAATGATTGGTTATAAATTCCGCACTAAAATTGTCAAGTTTGTGGTAACAGAGATTTATTATGTGGTTTTATAAATCAATATCTATAAGTAGTTTTACTGTTTCATTTTAAAATATTCCCATTTGTCTATGCCATAAAATAACTAAATGGGATAAGTATTATTGTTTTTATTATGTCTTGAAGTAATTTATTGAACTATTTTGCGTCACAATCTTAGCTTTCTGTCAATAATATTCAAGTTCGAAAAATTGATACAACATTTAATAGTAGCATGGAGATATTAACTAAAGTAACCGGAGAAATTTCTTATGATCAAGATTATAAATGAATTAGAGATATTAAAATAATATTTTGCAAAGTCAGATATCCTTTTATCAGACACGAATAAGTGGGTGGCCCTGTCATATGATTGCAAAATTTTTGCACGCTCTAATAATCAGCGTGTACTTTGTCTGAACTCTAAACAGTGGCCTTCTTTTGCCAACTAGCGCCTGAATATTATAATTTCTAGTTATTATGTTATCATTGTCAAGGCTCACACCTACAATATTTACTTCCGTACATTACGAACTAGTTTTAACACCTTACTTACGTACATATTATTGTGTACTGCTCTAATAGTACGGTTTGTTTACGTTCAATCCGTGATTAAATATTATCGTCTGAGATGTTTCTCGATGAACGTCGCCATATTGCCGAACTTATTGAACTGGGTGCTTACTCTTGAAACCAATCTTAATGTGAATGCAATTTCAATCTAATCAAATCTCAATAATTATTCAATGCCAAAACTATACAACCCCTATCGTAGCTGTTAAAATAGCATTCAGAGTATGAAATGTGAAACCAAACTCAATACCAAATGGTATACTGAATATTGAATGAACTAAATAGTTCATTCAATATTCACACAATACAGATGCAATAGTCGCTAGTGTTGCAACTCGAGAGTACAAAATTCACAATACCAATGTCGATGGATCGGAATTCAAGAGTGAACTCCCTGGTCAAAAGTTCGTATTATAACGGAATCTCTATACCACATTTTTATATATTAAAAAAAATACCGATAGATAATGACACTTTATATTCAAATGACTGTGACAAACATCTTTACTAGGACCAAGCCTTGTGAAAATCAATTCCGTAATTATTATTCAAGTTCCTCGGGTGATTAACATACGATGTGATATATTTTAGGTCCCCAACCGGATTCGTGTGATCCTGTTTTTATTATTCAAAATCAGGTTCTGATTTGATTTTAATTAGCTTTTATAGAAACATTCTTAGATATAAGAGCGGAAAATCGAGTTTTGTTGTTAAGGTAGGCTTGTTATGTAAAGTGTACGTCTTGTTTCAGGTTTTATTACGAATTAAAATATGTAGACATATTTTAGTGAAATCTTTTATTGTTAGATTGGTAGGCAATATAATAATATTATCATAAAGTTCGGTTCCTAGACAAATCATTATCATCATTCACCATTTCAGAAATAATTTGATATCCAGGACTCAAATACCTACATATTAATGTGCTAAAAAGACATGGACATATTGTATACTTATACTCATATTACAGACGATCGAATTTCCAAAGCGTGAGACGAAATAACATTAAAAAATATGTATAGATAGAAAAACGAACATTGGCACTTACCGCTCGGTATAAAAAATGCGAGTACATAATGCTTTTTAACGATATTCTATTGTAGTTTTTATCTGTTATTAGCAAAATACATAAAAAAAACGTAAAATCATCGTTAATCACTTATTTTTAAAGATGACTATTCGATTTTGAACACCTGTTCCGTAGTCCGTACACGAATATAAAAACACTCCAGTAGTGCCCATTATGTGAATGAAATGTGACACCTCCTCTATTCAAATTTTTTTATATTGCTTTGAAAAGTGATAGATGTTCGCGTATTTAATGTATTTTTTCTTTCCAATCAATGATCTTTAGATAATATTAAAAAGTTTTAAATACATAGGCCGAACGTATGAGGATTTGTACCTATCTCTTCTTTTGAGCGTCGCGTACAATGACGTAGACGTAGAACATACGCAGCGACTACGCGCATTTGCATAGCGCCTTCACAAATCACAAACTTGTAGTTTACTCTGTACTCACATAATCGTACTGCACTTATCGTCCAAGTGGGTCATGATTGACTGCCTCGTTGACCGAGTGGTCGCAAGTGCGACTCGGCAAGGGGTCTCGGGTTCGATTGCCGGGTCGGACAAAGTATTACTGGGTTTTTAAAAATTCTCAGTTGTAGCACGGAGCCTGCAATCTTGCCCGGTATATGACAATAGGATCCCCCCCTATTACATGGGGCTCATAACGTAAAATAGTCAAAAGTGGGTGTTACTTACAGTGGCATTAAGTGCGGTAATGTGCCTTAACCTTCAGGGATAAAAGAAAGGCGTGATGATGTTATGAATTTTGTCTATTATACTTACTAAGGGATTAAATTAAACCTTGTTTCTTTTCAGATCTTCTTCGTAATGCGCAAGAAGTTTGACCACGTGTCGAAGCTCCATGTGATCCACCACGGAATTATGCCCATGTCAGTGTGGTTCGGAGTCAAGTTCACACCAGGTCAGTCTATTGAAATCTTATTCAACTAACTATCGTAATACTGTATACATAATACCATTAGATAACCTTGTCGGTCGATTCGTTAGTGCGACTGTCCATGTGTGGGATTTTGTTTTTGATTCTCGCTTAAGATAAAATGTTATTGAGTTTTTTGAATTCTTAATAAGGGTATAGAGTTTGACATAGTAAGTTAAATTGAAATATGCATTTCTAGGTACCTATTACCTACTACAAAAAATAATACTTACGTTTAATTTATTGCATATTATAATATTTACTTGTAACCATTTACAATCATACAATGATAGCATTAAGAATATTGATTCATTACCATATAAATCATGCATTTAGACAAATTGCAGCAAAATTGCAGTAATAAATAAAAAGCGTATTATGCATTTTAAATAATCACGTTATACCGATACATACTAAGATTATCAGCTGTTAAAAATGTCAAGGCAATCAACTATGTATTTTAATTGATACGGTCAGTTGGATCGCTGCGTCTTATATATTGCAAAAGCTTTCCATACAACTCTAATTTTTTAATATTCAGCCTACCTCTTTTAAGAATAGCACTGATATGGTCTGAATATAGGAAAAAGAGATCGTAGGTAGAAATTATCTACTATTATATATCGTACTACCTTGTTTAACATAGGAGGAGCGGTCTAAACTATAACATTAGGCCTTTTGATGGCCAAAGGGGTAGATTTTTTTTAAGGGGGGAAAATCATCGAATGACTGTTCCCGCCTGGGTGAGGCGGGAGGGATTGTCAGACTCTTACTGACTAAAAACCACCCCGTTCCTCCTCCTGTACGTCGAGCCGGAGCCCCGGTTACCCGTTAGGGTCTCCGCGACTCCGAATCGCCAAAGGGGTAGATAGAGGCGCAAATTTGCAATGTAGCATCAACTTTTTACCGCTTTTGTTATGAGTCCCATATAATGAGGATGTGAGCATTATGCTACATACGGGGCCCAATTCTAGACTGTAAATTTTTATAAAAACTCATTCGATCAACGAGGCAGTTGAGATAAATTACCATTCGCAAAATAAAAGAGAAAATCGACAACCAAATCGTTTATTTTTCGTGTACTCTTGTTGTGTGTTCATTCAACACTTCGTCAGTATTTTTTTGTTCTATTGTTTCCATTCTGGTATTATTTGTTCGCACCCATAAACAAGTTCTTTGAATGTTGTAAAAACCAAAGATCTACGATTAAAGATGGACACGTAATGATTACAAATACGCTATTATATTTCACTCAATCACTGATATTACAAGTAAAACGTCGACGGTTTTTACCAAAGTTTCTTTGTTTAGATGCGAGCTAAAGAAAATTATTGGGAATACCAATTCGGGCGGCAGTTTTTAATAGCTTCAGTATATCCGTATAATTATAGTTTAATGTATATCAAATCTTCATATAATTTGCAGACTGGAAATTTTCTACGAGTTTTTTTTATTAGACTAATGTAGGAAATTACCGAGATATATTTTCCGCAGTATTCATAACATAATAATATGTTATTGTTATTGCATTACTATGCATCATTTGTCCATTTACATACTTTATACGTAAGTAAAAATAAAATACACTCACACGAGCTTATAGAATTATGTCACTTTGAAACTCTATCTCTTTGGATCTCACTAGGCAATTTAGCACGAGATTTCAAATAATAGGTAATTAATATAAAACTATGAACAATATTAGTAGGTATATTATACAACTTGGCTTGATGTCGACATAATATCAGTTAGATATTTAATGATAAATTAAGTGTCTGCTGCACGGCCTAACGGGTTGCCGGGGCTCCGGCTCGAAGAGCAGGCGTAGGAAAGGGGTGGTTTTAATCAGTAAGAGGAGACTCTTACTGATTAAAGATGTGTGAGAACACGTCCGCTTGCCTTACCCAAGGCGGGAGAAGTCATCGGACCCCCTCAAAAAAAAAGATTTCTGCTGCATGCGGCGTGTCTTCACATAATAATTTTACATTACGTATTGTATTATCATCATACATCACATCGCATAATATTTTCCATTGTTACTGAACTGAAAAGTTCAGCAAATATGTTCTTAACTAGCTGCAAATTAACCACAAACAATCGATGACACAATCTCGGCTAACTATCTATACTCACATATTTATTTATTATCTTAGAATATACTTCATAAATTGTTCAGTAGAGTTTACTCATTAAATAGAAAATTTATTTTAATTATGTTTACTGTGAATTACGTAATAACTGAAGTCAAGTTAGGTACAAGTTACTATATAGTCGTTAGGTATACTTATTAGTGCGATCACATATTTTTTCTACGAAGTCCGCAATTCCGTATGATTTTAACAACACCAAACATGGATCTTGTATCATTCTCGAACAAAGATTATGTTCGCATAAAAACGCGTTCCATGAAAACAATATTTGCACAGTAATAAATGACAAGAGTACTCGACAAGTAAGCATGTAGTGTTTGTTCGCTCAGCAAATCTGTAGGTGCTCAAGTACGTTCTAGAACTACGGAACTCGATATGTGAACTGTGTCCCATAGTAATTTAGACAAATACCGCTACTAACCGGTTGAGATGTCACTGTTTGTCTTCTTCAAACTACATTTATTTGAACTAAACTGGTATATATTTAACAGTTAACTATTTATAGGTATACCACAGGGTCTAACGGAATTTGTACTTAAAAACATTATGGTTGGTTAGTTTGTTGGTTTATCCATAACTTTCTTAATAGACATCAGAAGAATCCATAAAACTTATACGCATATTGAGTTTTATAGTGATTAACATAAAGTTACATATTACAGTAATAGTATCCGCTATTTATATGTTAATGCTTTACAAAGTTTATTTTGTTTCGTAGGCGGTCACTCAACTTTCTTCGGAATGCTGAACACCTTCGTACATATTGTGATGTACTCATACTATCTCCTGGCTGCCCTCGGTCCTAAGGTTCAGAAGTACCTTTGGTGGAAGAAATACTTGACAGCGCTACAGATGGTAAGTTTCTCAATAAAATAAAGATATTGAACTAATCTTTCTGGTCCATTGACATACGAAGTTTCGATTCCTGGGTCGTATGACTCAGTTGAGGTCAAATGATTCAATGTGTGAAAATTTTCTTTATGGTTCTAAACATGAGTTCATACTTGAGATGTGATAATATGATTGTCCCCTATTCTTAATATATTGAATAATATTGATGTAATTGATTGGCTTCTTACTCAGTCGGTTAGCTTCCGATTAGTTATACGAACGACCATGGAATATTATTCACGAAGCAAGTTTATTCTATCGCTTTGTTCTAAGGAAGGACGAATCAGAAGCTTAAACTTTCAATTTAAAAATAACAAATGTGAGTAAATTATTCAACAGTTTCATAGATAGTGGCAAATAAATTGGAATTTGTAAAGGTATTTATCTTAATCCGAACTTGAAAAATGAAGCAAGAGAGATCCTCCTTGACATTATAATTAGGAACGGCTCGCGTGTAATATTAGATAATACCTAATACATTTTCATTCATAAATTATTATAATACAATTTTGACATGTCGGTGATGGCCGTGTAGCCAGTAGGTAATGATATTACGTTGTGGTTTCAATGTCAACGTTTTGCAATCAGTTAAGTCGGGCGATCGTCTATCCTTGAGCATGGCTGCCGACACGGACAGGCCATTACGTGACGTCACATGGTCCGAACGGGTTCAATGAATAGGACATAAACGTCACCCTTCTCTTCCTGCTAGTGACGTACAGCCTAACTGGCTAATAATTAGTGCTAGGTCTAGGGAAGGCGATTTCTTACTGTTCATACCTAAATGCTGTATTAACTTAATAGTTATTGTAATTCCATAAGCACTTCGGATTTGCATGTGGTTAAACATTCAAATAGACGACAAAATTATCCTCATCATCAACAGCCTATAAATGCCCACTGCTGAGCAAAGCCTCTTCTCACACGGAGAAGGTTAGAGCATTAATCACCACGCTTGCTCAATGCGGGTTGGCGATTTCAAACTTATAATTAGAAATTATAAGTCCAGGTTTCCTCACGATGTTTTTCCTTCACCGTTTGTCAGTGGTGTCTAAATAATCTTAGAAAGTACATATAACTCGGAAAAAGTCACATTGGTACTTGCCGTTGGTAGGTTTCGAACCCGCACCCTCATGCATGAGAAGTGGGCGTCTTAAACCTCCGGGCCACCACGACCGACGACGACAACAAAATTATCCTAATACATATTAAATAAAAAATTAGAATGTTCGCCTTTGATGTGAAGTTTACTTAAAACTATTGTTTCTTCTATGTCTGCAGGTTCAGTTCGTGCTGGTGTTCCTGCACGCGTTCCAGCTGTTGTTCATCGACTGCGACTACCCTCGCGCCTTCGTCTGGTGGATCGGAATGCACGCCGTACTCTTCTACTACCTATTCTCAGACTTCTACAAACAGGCCTACCTCAAGAAAGCCAAAGTAAGTTATATTATTCGACATATCTATTACTTTTATGCATTACAGATTAAGTTTAATAGAACTTGTTTCTCGTATGAACAATAACACTGTAGTCTACAATTTACATAAAGAAACAAAGAACACTTCGCCTCTGTATAAGTAAATGCCAGCTGTTGACGATATTTTCTACAATTATCACGTATCTGATGTTTCATAATGATTTATAGACTTATGCCGTAGACGATAGAATTGATTAACATAATTATCACATCAACTCTAATGTATGGATCGTTGTTCTTTTGCAGAGAGAAAAAGCCAAAGTAAAGGTTGAAGCAGAGGCCTTGAAGTCAGACACGAAAGACAGGATGCTGCCTCTACTCAACGGCTTCAGTAATGGATCCGCGCTCGGCGACGTCCGGCAAAGGATGGCGGGCGCAGTCGCGTCACAATGATCGCCTCCTTGGTACCCCTAGTATGAAGAATCTCATCGCACCGAGTGAATACACTATGTGTACTCACAAGAATTCCTTTAATTACAAATACTAACCTAACCTTGTTACGGGTGACGCGTCGGCTCTGCCACATAGCCCTAACAAACAAATAGCAGTTGGCACGCAACGTGCTTTATATCGATCATAAATTACATGTCATTATCGATTCTTACTGATACGATGGTGCACGATAGTGTCGTGTCACTAATGGTAATGTTGCATCATCTTGATGGATAAAAGGAATCGATAAACTGGTTAAAGTACAAAATACGAGGGTCGAAAATTGGCCGGACACTGCCGCGGTACCCGACGAGACTATAAGCTCAATTAGTTGTAAGTTATTTGTACGAGTATACGTAGCTCAGTAGTGATAGTAGTTGTAATTTATTCAAACCGATTACTGTAAGTCCATAGGATTCTAAACAATAACGATTCTTGACTATTTATTCGGGCACGGATATGGTAGGACTAAGATAGAGCCAGTATTTCCATTTGTAAAGATGTAATTAGGATTTTTCTGATAGATATCGATAGAAATGGTTAAGTTTTAGCGCTGTCAAATTTGTTGTCTGAATTTGTAGAAAAAATTGCCGTATGAACGGTTATGTGCATCTTTTTTCTGTTATTTGAAAAAAGAGAGCATCATTTTTTATGAACACTTAAATCAAAAAAGGATATAAAAAATTGTTGAAGTATGAAATTACCGATGCATATACTCAAAAAGCCAATAACTTAAGGACACATACGCGACTCAGAAAATTAAGAAATATGGTCTATAATTTTCTAATTACATACGGAATGTCACAAGTATATCTTTGCCATTATTTATTACATAATATGTTTTTCACAAATATGCGACATGCATTGCATATGTACCTGAACGAGCTGACATCGGTAATTTCATACATTAACACTTTATAATATGTAATATCAATTTGTTTTGCGATTTGACGAAGTACGTCAAAAATGTTTACACACATAAGATCGACGGAATAATCTAGTAGATAAATAAACTAGCAGTCAGTCTCAGTAACATAATATTATTATCGCTGCGTAGATTTTGCTACTACAGTGTATATCAAAGAAATGGAGCCACTAAAGTCTTTTTCTTTTTATCGAATCCTCTATAATCTAAAAATATATATTCCTTTTAAATCAAAATGCTCTCATTTTAAAGGTAACTAAATAGCCTTTTATGCGATTACGATATACGTTATCAATTATGAAAATACTTGTATCAGTAAATATTTATCAAGAAATGAAAAAGGAAAAACGCTAGTGGCACCGTTTCTTTGGTCTGTACTTTTTAATAAGACTTGAGGTCAAAATTAAGGTATGTCTAGTAGCTATCTACTTAGATAAAGGTTCTTAAGACTGGTTGTAAGATTATTATTTTCCTTGTATTACGCCATTAAGTACTAGTATCGGACTCAGACTCGTTTATTAATTACTTAAATTATTCCTTAATAACGATTTTGTTGCGAAAACAATTGTTAAGGACTGGATTAAGTATAACCATTATAACTCTGAGTATGTCGGTTAAAAAGTTGTTGGTGTGAACCTCCTAATGACTGAATACACACACTTACAAAGTCATCGCTAGGTTACACCTAATAGGAAAATTATTTAAAGTTTTTTTGTATTCGATGGATGCACTAAAAACAGCTGGTTTTATGTAAACAAAATACATTACATGACAATCGAGATTATTGAAATCATATTGTTTATATATCTATGTGTTTTATGATGAGTAAATCGATCGTCGCCGTCGATGGACTAGGGACTTTTAACCTAATGGAAACAAACCCAAACACTATGAATCCAAGGAAATAATATCGCCATTGGTAATCGAATCTATTTATCTTGACCCCTATATTGTTTGGGGAATTTATATCGAATAATTATATCGATGTTATTTCTTCTATTGAGATTATAAAGATCGATCATAATGTAAATAAATTGTTATGTAATTCGAGTCTATCTTATGTGTGTGTTAATACAAAGTGCCTGTCAACTCATCAAAGTTTTTAAGTACAATAAAGCTATTTTTTATACAATAAAGCTAAACAGATGTATGTGAAATCCCTAAAAAAGTCAAAAAGATTAATGATTTTTCAAATTTCAGTTATTGTACCGAAAGTTTTCAGGAATCCAAGGCTATTCACATAATTTATGTACATATATAGGTACCTAACATCGACATGCTGTAAATATGTTAAAAGGGTAATCGTACATTTATACTTTGTGATACATAAGTTAATAAAAAAGAATTTAATTTTTATTTTGGTTTGTTTTTCCTTTTATATAGAAAGGCATCTTTAGGCACCCAGTCCTTAGTACCCAATTACCTATATAACTAATGCCGGAATACTGAAACGTTACTCAATTTTAAGTCGTGCTCAAATATCGTGCCATCTCTGTCATTTTACAAAGAATTTGTAGAGATAGAACTATACTTAAGCACGACTTAAAATTGAGTAGCGTTTCAGTATTCCGACATAAGAGCAATCAATAGTAGATGTATAGAATTTGTAAAAAATGTACTAGCGTCTAAAGTCTATACTCGTTTTGATTATTTTAAAACATACAAAAACTCTTACTAAGCTCTCAGAACTCATTCCTTAGTGCCCCTCAATAACATTTTAGTGTCTCAAGACATGTAGAGTCTAGACAAGAACTTGATCATTAAGAGAATAATTCCTTAAAATCTTGATGTGCGTTGAAGTCTTTTGTTAGAATCCTTTAAAACTTTATAACCCTCATCACTAATCAAAAAGTACTGGATTAATTGCTTAGGATTCTTCATAAACCTAGTATAAGAACTTACCTAACAAAGTAATGTGACGTGCTGTGGTGACGTCATCGTCATCATCGCATCATTATTTCCCATAAGAGCATCTTAACTTCATAAAATAATAAGTGCCGTACCATATAAGCATAACCTGGTATACTAATAACTGGGGAAATATTTAGTTTCTATTCCACTGAAGGAATGAATCTGCAGCATGCGGTATGCATCATGCAGAAACAACACTCGAGCTACACTTGAGTGTGGTTCGAGTGGTTTGTTGCCTGTCGTGTGTGTGTGTGTGTTTTGTATCGCATCTCTACTGAAAGAGCGTTTATTTTCGGGCGTAAGGGCGTGGCTGCATATCGTATGCTGCAGATTCATTCCTTCAGCGGAATATAAACTAAATACCTATTAATTTAGCATGGATTTCCGCAAAGTAAAGCTTGATTCTATTCTACACATAATCTGATACTATTAAATTAGTCAGCGGATAATTACTAATCTATTTGTCTAAATGAATTGCAATTTAGGTATAGTATGCATCTTTGCTCAAGTGAGATGACTAGACACGAAGTCATCGTAGTAGGTATTCAATCACCACTTTAGACAAATCTTTGACAAATTATTATCACTGTATTTCTTTTCGATATATTATATTATTATATCCTAGAAGGTAACTTAAAAGTTTAATTAAGAAATACTTAATAGATATATGGACATATTTTTCTTTTTTTGAGGGGGGAAACCATCCAATTACTTCTCCCGCCTGGGTAAGGCGAGAGTAAGGGAGTGTCAGACTCACTGACTAAAATAGATATATGGCCTAGTATATGGTAATGATCATAAGAGCTTACTAAGTTGGCTTTTTGCATTCCGAATTTAACAAAACTTTAAGAAAAATCTAAATAACGAAACCATAAAAAAAATTTTTTAGGTGAAAAAATTGACAGATTCAATTCCTTTTTTGTTCAGCATTATAAATCGACAAGAATGGACGGATGTGTGTGATTCATTTAACGGATTTTCCCCCATTAAATTCGTGATTTGTTCCTCATAAAAAACATTAGCTTGGCACAATTCCCACCACTTCCCAGTAACTATTAAAATCTGACAGTAGTCGGTGCCCGGTTCGTGTCACAAAGGTGTAATTTTCGGATAATTATTCATGCTACACATGTTTTATTTGTCATTCAAACATGGACAGTGGACACGGTGAAAATTGTCTGTCTTGGTCATGATTTCTGGGTTAATGATGATTTCTGAGTAATAGGGTAGATGCCTAATTTTTATTTTAATGTCCGTCTGGTAGATTATTTTAATTCATTAGACCCGTATTTTTTATTTCCTTACAGAAACCAATAGTTTCAACGATATATTGATTTGAAATGTCGCGTAATATATGTATGTGCGTATATGTACATTTTATACGTAAAAATGACGTTTTAGCCCCCACTCCTAAACTTTGATTCGTTTTATCGAAGTATTGTTTTATTATACGACAAAATAAAAAAATACGTGTCATATATTTTTTCATTACAACTTATGGACTAATTAGATTTTTAATTTTCATACCCTGTCATCATCCCAATTGAACAGTTGTAATGGTACCGTAGTTATAATCTTTATTCGAACAACATATTAAGCGATAGGTATCACAGAAGACATAGTATTAGAATAAAATCCACTCAATCTTTCGCGCGGTACATGCGACTAGTGACATCTGTTGATGAACAGGTGAAGCTTGATAAAAGGAGAGTTTTTCGATAATCATAATAAATGTTTTAATTTCTATGAAATAGGTTAAAATGTAGATGATTATTTTAGTTTAAAACTGTTATAAAATTACTGTCAAATTAAATAACCTCGTTGGATCAATGAATAATAAAAAACCAAGTACCATTTCTATTAAGTTTAGCTATTCGACAATAGATGGCATTGTTCACTATATTAAACATGGGATGATGACAGTGTATGATAATTAAAAATCTAATTAGTCCGTCATTTAGGTAATGAAAAAATATTATACCCAAATTTTTTATTTTGTCGTATAAGAAAACAATACTTAGATAAAACGAATCAAAGTTTAAGAGTGGGCGGTTGTTATTGTTGACGTTATGTGATATTTTAAATCAATATATCTTCGAAACCATTCGTTTCCATAAGAAAATAAAAAATACGTGTCTAATGTTTTTAAATAATCTACCAGACGGACATTAAAATAAAAATTAGTCATCTACCCTATTATTCATTTCTGCACACTAGAACGTTTCAATTTACTCTAACTTTTTTTTTATAGGGCTAAACAGCATTTTCTGACACACACTTCATATCGCAACAACAGTTTGTGTATGCGGGAATCGAACCCAATCAGTTTATTTAGAAAAGAAAGAAATATAAAAGATAGGAATATTTTTAGAACTCGTTATCTACCTTGTGACAAAAGCTATCCATAATATCTGTCGCGGAGAACCTAACGGGTAACCGGGGCTCCGGCTCGACGTGCAGGAGAAAGAACGGGGTGGTTTTTAGTCAGTAAGAGTCTGACACGCCCTTCCGCCTCACCCAGGCGGGAGCAGCCATTCGATGATTTTCCCCCTTTGTTTTCTATCAGTGAAGTTATATTTCACACACTGTCGTAATTATACAGAAATGGATTTTTAGAGCCTAATCGGAATTATTGATCCTATCTTCAGTCAAGAAATTAACTTTCATTAGGTACTTATGTATTTTAAATATTTTCACAGTTTTCACTTTAAACACTGTCATAAATAGTTGTTGTTCCTATGTAATACGACTTAACACCGGCATGCAGATAGTTATCACCGTCACAGAGTCACAGCATAGTGTTGAAAGCGTTCTTTTGTTTGTCTGCATATGTGCAGTGCTCGGCTAAACGTCTAAATTGTTCACTGGTTCTCACGTGCTTTGAGAAGTGACACAAATTGCACAAGCCATTGTTTATTAAGAAAACTTTATTTACAATGAAATATTTTACAATCTATCGTCATAACTTACTTTCTATTGTACATAGATAAAACGTAAATCTATATCGGTAAACACCAATGTCAACAAGAGAGTACAACTTCTTCTTGCGTAAATTCGAGATTGTTGTTAATTCTTACATGGTAACAAACGACTTATACCAATAGAAACATCAATAATAATATCACAAATAATTTAGGGTAACTACGGGTAAGCCTCTTTAGACAAAGATGAAACTATTTACATTCAATCTTGAAACTCGTGATTCCACTAACAATTTATTTACAATAGTTGTTGTACTTTGATGATTAGTTAAATAAAATAAGAAATACACATTGCTTTTCATACATTTACGAATTAGCAGTCTTAAAACTATATCCCTGCATATAAACTAGACAAAATAAATTCTCATTGCTAATGAAATAGTCCAACAATACCTACATTCCAAAGGCAACTGGTTAAATAGTTACTGTTCTAAAGAGGCGACTAATTTAATGGCAGTGATGTAATGTAACACAGTAATAATTACGCTCTTGTTTTAGTTTTACCAAATTCTTCTATATGCTCGTACTCGGTGAATCCTGGGTCGGAGTCATAATACGCGTAGTCATAACTGTTATCTTCTTTATCATGTGCAGGTTTCGCGAAATGTGGTGCACGAGTGGTGGGCCGTGGTGCCGGAGTAGATGGTGGCGAGGGCGGCACGGGCACGCGGCTCGGTGGACGAGGCGGCCTCGTCTCTGGTGCTCTTGGAGCTACAGTCGTCGTGGGACCGGCAGGTGCATCATTAGCTGAAGGGAAGTTCTGGTTCAATGCTTGATAATCAGTGGGCCTCGACGTCGTGGTGTACGTTTGGAAGTAATCGAAAGTGCGCTGCGTGTTTATCGTCTGCGGCTGAGGTGTTGTCGTATAAATTGGTTCCGGTGCTCTCGTAGTGGGAGGTGCAGTCGGTGTAGGTGCAGGCCTGAATGGCCTTGGGGCTGCAGTTTGAGCTGAAGGTTTCGGTGGAGGTTGTGTCTTTGCATACTTTTTGCGTTCTTCTGGAAGCCTATTGCCACTTGCAGCAATATTGAGTGAATGAGCACCAGCTAGCAACTCCCGGTCATATAATTCTGGACGGTACTGTCCGTCATCTTCTCCTTGTGGAGGATGATACTGGCCATCATCTTCATCAGTGTCCTCGGCAAAACTAGCAGACTGTGTGTTGAAGGCGAGGTTGGTGTTGTATGCCACTGTGTTCAAGTTAAGTGGAGGTTCAGGGCGTGATGTCGTGTAGATCGTAGTCGATGGAGCGCTCGTGGTCGTAGGACTGTTGTAATAAGTTTGTTTCGAGTAAGGAACGAAATTATTCTTTTCGGGTTCATATGAGACGCTGTTGAAGTTTTTGTAGGCTGGTGTAGTGGTAGGGAAAGTTCTTGCGGGAACGCTGTAGTCTACAGTTGTAGGTGTGTCTCTAACATTCTCTCTGTTGTTCTCCACTCTGTTGTTGAAGTTATTAAAGTTCTTGGCACGCGCGAATTCTGGGTCTCTAGGAACATCTTGTACATTGAAGCTATTTCTAACTTTGAAGGGTCGATTTTCGTTCTGAACATTTAGTCCCGGAGTTGATTGTGCGTCGTAATTATATAATTCAATAAGACCTTCCTTTTTATTAAACCGAGGGGCCGCTGTGGACGAGGGCTGTGGGAAAGTGGTAGGAGCACCGTTGGGATAGAACCTGTTATTTTGTTTTGGAGTCACTCTAGGAACTTCGACGTATTCATCTTTATACTGTTTGTATTGTGGAGGAACGTTTGGAGGAGGAGTGAAGGCTTGTTGTCTGTTTTGTGCGTTGAATCGGCGGTTAAAGTTTTGCTGTTGCGGCTCAGAATATTGCTGCTGTTGCTGTTGTTGTTGTTGTTGTGGTTGCTGCTGTTGTTGCTGTTGCTGCTGCAGCTGTTGTTGTTGGGGAGGAGTGTTTGGTAGGAAAGTTGTGGGTGGGGCTTTAGTCGAGACGTATATGGGACGTTTTCTCACAAGTTTACGTTTAGAAGGTACGTCATACTGCTGGGGTGGCACAGGAGGCTGACTGGATGGAGGTGGTGCAGGTGTGGTGTACTGTGTGGTGGGAAATGTGCGCTGGGTTGTGGGGTAAGTACGTTGGGTAGTAGGTCTACGGAATGACTGTCGTTGGTAGGGTTGTTGGGAGGAGACTGGGGATGGAGAGGAAGCGGGAGGGGTTTGTTCATCACGGCCACGGTCACGTTGTCCGCTGAAGAAGTCGGACGAGTGTGCTGCTCGAAGGTCAGAGTCAGGTCGACTCTGGGCGACATTGTTCTGGGACAGCCGACGGTCACCGGTCTCAGCGCGCTGGAGACCGAACTCAGCTTCATCATCGCGATTTCCATAAGACGACAACTTCTTGGTGTCAAATCCTGTTACAAAAGTGCACATGTATTAAAGATATGTTAATATTCAACTAGTACATTAAGAAAACTACATCTACAGTGAATTTTGAAGCTCCAGCTTGCTCTTTAAGGCAGACATTACGTCTTTTGCTTGCGTTGCATTTGAAAACCAAATATTTTATTTTGATAAAAGCTTTTGTTGCAAGCATACGGCTGAAGCTTAAATTTATTGTGACTTGTTACCAAGACGGCTGCCGGCAATCAGTGAGCACGTACATACTCTGTACTAATAATTCTCATTAGCCATAATTGATCAACTCATCATATGTTGACCTTGAGTGGCTATTCACTTGTACTGCAATTTTCGAAGACGTTGCGTAAATATTAATAACATGGCTTATTATGACTGATTGCCACCCACTGCCTACTCAATATAAGTAATCGTTTATTTATACAAACTAGATTCACTTGACGAGATGAAATCGCCTTTCAAAAAACCTAAGACATATACACAACTGCCTATTTCTACTATAATTGATGCTCTAAGCGTTTTTTAATACAGCTCTAATTTATTGTACAGCGCCACTCACAAATATCGGAAGTACTCGATTATAACATATTATTATAACTTTCTATTTTCATATTTTCAAGTTATAAATAATAAAATAAATAGTGTCATGTTATTATGACTCCTGAAGTATTAATTTAACATAACAATTACTTGCATCGTTAATTTGAAACACATAAATTGTACTGTGACTTTCCATTTTATATATTTGATGGGCTGACGTTTGATCACTATCTAGCCTGGTGGTACACGATGCTGCGGTCTACGATGGAACACGTCGTCTCATAAGCATCCTATTCAACCTATGTTCTTACAGAACACCTAAAGGTGATTTAAAATCATTAGAACACTAAGTCTTAAGTCAAGTTAACAAGTCTTTAAGAGATATTTGTGAGTGTTTTGTTAGTTGCAAAGCTAGCTCACCGGATCCGATCCTGTAGAGATCGAACTGACCGTCGTAGATGTCGGCGGGGCAGGCGAGTGGATCGTCGTCTCCCCAGTCCGTGCAGGTTTGCGCCTCCTGGTGGAACAGTGTGCCCGGGGGACAGAAGAACCTGAAGTCCCTGATCCCTCCTCCAGCGACCCTCACGCACACGTGGAAGGCCTTGCAGCCAGACTTAGCGTCTGCATAGTACGCGCCCAAGATCCGACCTTTACAGTTGAACCTTTCCGCGCTCCCTGTGTGACATGTAAAGAGAATATTTGTAATACAAGTGGGTAATGCAGTGAAGTCATCGTTGTGCTGTTGACTCCGTTGGTATGCGTTTTGTAATGAACAGCAGATTTATTTATGTTTTACATCTATTCGAATTATGTATTTGGATGATGTTTCATCTAAACTATTCTAATTTGAAAAGATTTATGAGTAAAATATGATAAATGTTTTAATTTATGATTAATTGCCATGATTCCCACGAAACCTTATAATATATTCATCTATGCAAGAGCAATAACCGACATAGTTTTTAAACAGTAATTACCTACTAGCTTCCCTACAACTACTGATTTTTAATTATCAAAGTTTTACGTCATCGAGAAAACGTTACATGTAAAATGAGTTTCACGAAATTTTCATTACATAATGAATTTTAGATCTTACATGTGTAGGTACTTTTAACTATGCATTATGTCCATATGGACAATATTCACAATGTTATCTTTTCATAACCCTAACAATGCTACTTCTAAAACATTAACAACAATAAATTATCATTAAAGCGTACTTGACAAAAGCAACAAGATTTTTTAAATTCAAAACCACATATTTATCCAGATTTTCATAGATAACAATGAGTGTCAATTTTGGCTTTGGGCGACGTTTGGCGGCAATGGGCTGTGATAGTGTTCTCATAGTCCAAGGCGACTATTGTAATCACAGCGACACTTGAAGTAAACGTGCAATAACTAGGCGGAGAGGCACAACGTCTAATGAGACGAGTTCATTGCGACATAACTACAGTCAACTACTTCAAGCACGCTAATCCTGGCGTCGCCACTTAAATATCTGCAAAACTCGTCACAGTAACTAGGGAAAAACATGTCATAAGGTTTGTTAGTGCCTCTGTGTCTTAAGATTTTAACTAAGGGATGCCTCCCTTCTGTTAAATCTCCTACTTAATGGTCTTTTTTTAAGGGGGGAAAATCATCGAATGACTGCTCTTGCCTGAGTGAGGCGGGAAGGACTGTCAGACTATTATTGACTAAAAACCACCCCGTTCCTTCTCCTGCACGTCGAGCCGGAGTCCCGGTTACCCGTTAGGTTCTCCGCGACCGTTAGGTTCTCCGCAACAAGCTGGTCTAGCTTTGTGTTTATTAGAGGTATTAAATAGGATACGCTTTTCCAGCTATGAGACCTTTAATAATTAAATGGTAGAGTATTAATCCTATACCGAGCACAAATACACAACTATGGGTAACTAAAAATTTCGAAAACCCCTATAGGTTTATAATTTAAAAGTAAAACTAGTAGAGCTTTTCACAGTATATTTACGTAACTAACTCGTGATTTTTATTTAATTCAGTGTGTCTCGCGATAATTATTATAAAAACATTACATTTGCGAACAATCTGCGGATTAGTAAACAGTTTATATGATGTAGAAGAACATTTTATACTACATATAATAAGATGTAGCTTATTTCATAATAAACTCGAATTAGTATTTAAATGAATTACAGGATGTGAAACTAAGTGAGTAAGCCTGCTTTGGTTACTAGTGCTACCTATATAAAGTAAATGTCATTCGATCATCTATATCGCAATTAAATTATATTAATATCCGTTCAGTTACAACATCTTCAGTTCAATATATCAATGAGTTCAATGCGTTATTATTTAGTTTCGAAATGTATGAAGAAAATGAAAAGTGTTACGGTTGATGATTGATGAGCGAACTTGTTATTGGAGCGAAAAAATCGTCTAGCCGCCCCATTAATGGGCTTTGATTTATTAGAACTTCCTTGAGTTTGTAATCGGGTAATCTTTAGAGTAACGTAATGAGATCGTATTGTTTTCGAGGAAAATTACATAGATTACTCTCAAATTGATTTATGTAAAAATTTATTGTGATGCTTATTAAAATTCGCTTTGTATTGGTCACACCTACATGGCGAGAATAACTGCAGTCTTGGACGGTAATGCACCAGCAATATGCCAACCAAATGCTAAACAGTTGAAATAAATGACAAATTTCTGACAAAAACCAAACTTAATATATTATAATCTTTAATCTCTATTGAGCACAAATCGGAATTTTTGTGCGAATTTGAGCTAAAACTATATTACAGTATGTATAAGGTTTAGTAAGTAAGTAGGTAGGTACATGAATTAGTTCAAAGTACTAAATTGTAGAACACGTTTGTTACATTTCACTCGTATCCGGCGTAGTAATAGCTTCACTTTGTTTTCCGTATTAGGAAGGATAGTAAGTACTCAGACTACTCAGTATTGTCTCGATCCGACACAACGCGTTACAACCAATTCGCAATGCCTGTACGTATGGCTGTCCACTTCAATCTTGAACGCATATGCGCGCTACTTTTACCTAAGACATTCGAGTAATACGCGGATAAATCGATTTTAGCTTTGTTTGTAGTAAGATAATGGAAGTAAAGAGTTTATCTAGATTTACGGATTCGTGACCCATTCCATTTTTCATTTTAGGTAACCTAATTCTTGAAAAATTAACCATCTAATATCTCAGGTACTTAATATTTCAAAAATTGGTATACCTTGTACATTAACGAAAAATGTTTAACGTGTATGGCATACTGGAGCAGTACCTACATTAACTTCTAAAATTAAGTACCTAACAAATTCCCACTTGATAAGCAACTGGCCACCCATTTGGCAATTAAAACAAACGACTACAGATAAATCTAGCAAACAGTTAATTGTTTTAAGAGCCTGTGTATAAAACACTAGAACAATTAAACTTATAGTCCGGTAAAGATCAAATGGCGGTGCTAGATTAGTGGATTCCCATGCGTGTGTGCTCACCGTGAGAGGGGGCAGCGGGTTAGCGATAAGATCGCGGGCTCTTGCACAACCGCGCGCGCTATAAGGTGCCATAGCATCCTCCACGAAAGGTCACCACTACCTTATGTAAGTGTAATAACGTCTAACAGAGCACACAATCAAATTCTGATCTCTTTTACAATCAAAAGGTCATAATATATGAGATGTGTCATTATGAGTACGTGAACAATATTGTTTGGATGTCGGGTCACTTCCTCATTGTCCGTGAGAAAGATGATCGTAATTATTGACTCTAATGATCTTGTGGTTATTTGGTAACATATTATTATTATAAAGATGAAGATGAGAATAAAAATGTTCGTTATGACTGCCTCGTTGGCTGAGTGGTCGCAAGTGCGACTGCCACGCAAGAGGTCTCAGGTTCGATTGCCGGGTCAAGCAAAATATACTAGGTTTTTAAAAAAAATCTCGGTGGTAGCACGGAGTCTGAAATTGTGCCCGGTATATGGCAATAGGCTTACCCCCTATTACATGGGACTCATAACACGAATGGTGAAAAGTGGGTCTTACATTGTACAGTGGCATTAAGTGGTGTAATGTGAACGTATGCTACCGCTTCGGGGAAAAAGGGCGTGATGTTATGTTATGACTAAATAATGTTGACTGTATTTTATGCATTTGGTGTGGTGCATAATCAACAAATAAACCCATCATTTCCTAAAGAGAACTGATGATATAATTTGATGTTAGCTTGTTTTATGTTGGATTTGTTACGCTACAAATAAATAAAACGCTTATTACAAATATGTTTACATAAAATAAAATTTGATGGACGGCGGCTAACTGCTTCGAGCTCACTAATCTTTTTACTTTCGCAAACACACAACCTGTTAGCTGATGCACCGTGAAATTAAGTGGCGCAATTACATATCGAGTTTTATTGCTATAGCAGATGCTATCAATGTCACAACACTACGCAAAACATTGCAACACCGGAAATTTCTTTGTTTATTTGCTTATATTTCAATGTTGCGTGCTTTACTCCGCGATATTTATGCTAATGTATGCAGTGATGTAACAGATTGTTGTGATGACTCAGTCAAATATCGGCAGGTGATCGTCCATTCATTAATACACGATAAAATGTGCTCCACCGCATAAATTTAATACAGTCGATACACAAATACACTTTCGCTTCCATTCTTCTAAAACAAGGTAAACGTTATTTTTCTCACGCTTTGATTGTTATGGTTCAATACATTAGATTTTCCACACAATAAAACGTTATGAAGCAAAAACGTTATTGGTTCACATTGTTGCAACATTCACTAGCGACGTAGGCTTAAATGCGTTAATAACCATGGAATCTACATTTGTAATGTGCAGTTACCAAAACAAGAATTTGTTATGAATTTTATTTTAATTAGTACTCTTTGTAAATGAGTCTGTGTGGAGAGACTTAAGGACGTTCAGTACGTACGATACGATATCCTTGTTACATACCAGCGTCGTTTTACGTTCACGAAAGGAAGGGATTATATGTCAAACACAAATGTCTAACCACAAAGCGGGTCAACTTGCCTAACTACGATTGTAGGTTAGCGAATTGCAGGCGACCCTTCAACCACAATATGAACGAGTAAAGGCAAGATGTGTACAGCCGGGTAAGTGCCTGAACCTTGAGGCTACCCATCCGTTCGCTGGCCGTCACGCCGCCCTAGTTCTTACGGAGAGCGGAGCGTGGGAAAATCACTTATGCAAATCCGGGGAATCGATTATCGTGGCGATGCGCGATCGACGCGGGCGCAGCGGCAAATGGAAAGTGCATCGGTTGCGCAAGTGACGTGCACTACGCTCGCACCGCCCGACACACGGGCCATCTCTAATGCGAACCTGATGCTCGGGCCACGAGATAGCTCTTACAAAACACACAGACGTACCTCACGGAGTCGTGGAGGTTCATTTAGGTCAACATATCTAAGACCCTTATTATAATAAGGTTCACGATTTACGTTATCTAACCGACACGAGATTTAGTATGTAATTACGTACAGTATTGAATTAATTTAAACATTTATTATTACAAAATTAAAATTCAAACATTTTTTTAAAATTTGTAGTGTACATTGGTAGAATACCTATTATTTGTTTATTAAAAAGAAATCTAACTAGCGTATTTTTATTTTTATCGGTTCTAGTGATCATAAATGGAAGCACAACACAATTAAATAGTCAAACAATGAAAATGTTATAAAATAGTATTTCGAAACAAGAAACTGAAAATGTCTTCCCACGCGGCCGGATGTCCTGCACATTAGGAACACACAAATTAAGTAAATACTTTCACAGAGATGCGCACGCGCGAACCCGAGCTGCACAACACCATTATTTCCTCACAGCGCAATGTATCATGAAAACACATCAAAATAAAGACTACAAAGAAAATCACACGATAGAATTCTTCTTCAGAACATTACCGCAGAAGAAAATTGACACGATAGAATATTCCGGTCACTTCCGATATGTCACAGTGTACGTAGCAGGTGCGGGTCACACGCGGTGGACTTACCCAGGACGGGGAGCAATGTTAGCAAGATCCACAGAGGGGACATGTTGTCGCGAGGTGCGTCGCGAAGGGACTGACGGTGGATGCGCGCGCGCCGCCCGCCCGGCCACGGGAGGGGAGAACTGAAAGCTCGCCGCCCGCCCCGTGCGCGACCACTGTGCGCACAGACTGATACATCACCAGCTCATCAATATATCATTTGTTAACGTTTAAACATTTAAGGAGTAGCGTGAATAATCGTCAACGTTCCACGTAATACACATTTTTCAAATCTCATTACGTTGTCGATCAAAATATAGTACTGATAGAAAATAACTTAAACTATTTTTTGTTGCTATACCAAGCGATTATTAACAGATCAGATGCGAATTAAATTACTTCATAATCTCAGATTAATTCAGCCAAAAATATAAAAACTTTATACTATAACATAATCTTTTTGTGGAAATCCAAAGACCCATCTATCTGAACTGTTATCAAAAAATCCTAAACTATGTAGTGTCATATGGACAGTAGATGTTATATTGTAGTTAGATGAAAAAAAAATATCGGATTTTCACAAACGTTCATGTAACTTACAATGAACGTACACATTTCTCTAGTCTATGGTGGAATGGCACCCAGTGGAACAGACGCGTGATTTATTATACATAACCGATGTCTATCTGCGAACTATTGTTTTGTTGGCTCATTAGTCAAACGTTTTATTGCATTACGTCACGAACCGAATCATTGCACGGTAATGTCAATCTATTGAGAAAATCATCAATTATGTCTCCATAGACATCGTCCTTAATTACTAACTATTAATTTTTAATATATGAAAGTCTATATATGTGTCTGAATTAATAATGATTGGTACATAAATAGTCGTGAGAGAGTCGGCTTTTTATTCCTGTCGCCATAATTAACGATCATTTGTTTTGCATCTAGGTAATCAATACGGTGCTAGTATGATGTAATAATATATTATGTGTTGCTGAGATTGCGGTGCATTTGTGAATGAAATCTTCTTGTAATGTTAAAAGTCAGATCGTTCGGCGTAACTGGTTTTAGCGTTTAATTGTCTGTGTGTAATTCTTAGAAAAATATCTATCCTTACATTACATGACATTTTGCATGGTTGGCGCAGGGGCTGATCAACCAGCTGCTACTCATCATGTTGTGTCTCAATTTTTGCATAGATCAACTTTTTGATCCACAAAATTTTCTCAGTCTGGATGTGATATGTTCGTAAAGGAGGTGGTGGTGGAGGAGGTGGAGGTCTGAAATACAAGATTGCGTTCGGACCTCGCACATATTAACAGTTACTTCCATCGGTTGTGTAACCAATAAATTAACTCAACTTATATTATACGTATCAAAAGAAGAATGTGAGACAATCTGTAATAATATGCAACCACCCGGAACATAACAGTCCATAACGCTACTTTTACCTTTTACTTTCAGCAAACACATAGAGTATTGAAAAATATATAAATGGTACTTGTTACCCGCGACTTCACTTATAGAACAAAGGAAAAATAATTGATTAGTGGTCGTCAACACAACAGTTAAGTAATCAGTGAGGATTGTACATCAGATCTAACGAATTCTAATACAAAGTCATAATCAATCACCGTCAGTCCGAATACGTTCACTCCAGAAAAATGAACCCTATTTTAAGATTTTAACAGAGGGTTTTCTATGATTCCCACGCTATAAGCATTTTGGAAGTCGCAATTAGGTCACCAATATCAAAAACTAGTCACTATTAGATAACTCGTATATAAAATGTTATTCCAGTTAGGAAAATGACCTTTTACCCTTCAGCTACTCTACATAAAAAATCAAAACAGCCAAACAAACACGTTCACATTTAAAACATTAGCTCGGATAGACGCACACGCATAACATAGAAACGATTACGATGCTCGCTCGTAACTTGACATTATGTAAATAAGTGTAATAATAAAGCATAATCGTGTGATTACTGTTCGCATCTCCATACAGTTGCACATTTCAAAAGATTGCTACAGGGAAGCCTTTGTATTGTTCAATAATTGAATATTGCAATTGAATGTTATTGAATGATTTTTGTAACTCATTGAAATATTTGTAAAGTTTGTAGCTTTATTAAATGATGACGTTGCGAGTTTCGGATAATTCGAAGTGTATTTTTCGTATTATATTTGTCTAATGGAATTGCAATAATGATGATTACGATGGAATTATAGTACCTTGTTTAGTTTTATGTATTTTGACTATTTGAGATTTATAACTTTGACTGCCTCGTTGGCCGAGTGGTCGCAAGTGCGACTGCCAGGCAAGGGGCCTCGGATTCGATTCCCGGGTCTGGAAAAGTATTACTGGGTTTTAAAAAAAATCTTAGTAGTAGCACGGAGTCTGGAATTGTGCCCGATATATGGCAATAGGCTCACCCCCTATTACATGGGACTCATAACATAAATAGTGAAAAATGGGTGTTACATTATACAGTGGCATAATGTGCACCTCTGCCTGCCGAAGGGGTCTTCGCGGATAAAAGGCGTGATGTAATGTTGAGATTTATAAATATCATGTTTCTGTTTCGATTGATTAATTCACTAGATTTGACTGTTCTATGACCTCTACAATGTACTTCTTAAATATTTTAAAACAAACACTATTTAAAATAACTTCTTAACCATGACATTGTTCAGCTTCCAGTATCAATTATTTCATGGACCTAAACCAGAATTACGACAATACGTACCAATATATACCTACGTACCTATGATCCATAGTCTAGAATCCCTAATAGGTCACGTAGTTCAAACGTATTGGCTTCCTGTTACCTCAGAAACATGTGAGTGAAGCAATTTGTGAGGCGGACGACTGATTAAGCAACAAAGTCATAGTTAAGGTACAAACGAGTCGTGAAAATACTAAGAAGAGGAACCTGTTGCCGGTACAAAATTCTTCACTATAAAATGAGGTTCTTTACAAAGAGTAACATTACTTCTAAGGCTATTTTTAGATACACAATTTTGATATACATATTATTATTTTGTAGTGCCATTATTTTAATTTAGTAGAAAACGAATGATTTTTTTTTAAGGAGGGTAATCATCGAATGACTGCTCCCGCCTGGGTGAGGCAGGAGGGAGTGTCAGACTCTTACTGACTAAAAACCACCCCGTTCCTTCTCCTGCACGTCGAGCCGGAGCCCCGGTTACCCGTTAGGTTCTCCGCGACTCCGAAGAGAACGAATGATTAAGTCTATGATAATATTGCAGCAATACAATAAATATTGTATGTTTGTAATATTATTTTGAAAGAAGATATCACGTAACCCCTTTTGAACTTCCTGAACTGTCCTTCCTAACAAAGCGCCAAGAGATACTTATCAACAGTAGTGTGAAGGCATCACATAAATTGTGCCTACACACAATTCCTTCACATCCCACTTCTTAATCAGATGCAAGTAATTAAACAAACTTATATTGTTATTTGATAATTCACGGATAAAATTTGCCATTGAAATAAACAAACATTGCCGCTGTGATTTATCTAAGAAGGCGTATGTTTTAGGAATACAATAAGTACTTAGATACGCACAAGGATGCTGTTATTTGCATTCTATTAATGTTATTATACCTTCCTACTTCAATTTTCTTGCTAATATTACTTAACTACAGTATTTTTTTAAACCGAAAAATATAATATAGCTTTACCCAAACTAATGATAAACCGGACCTGCGTCCGAGATCGCTTGTTCTCTCTTAACCAATCAAGTCAGTAGCTTATAAATAAATATGTAAAACTGCGTGACAACAATAAGAATGCACTAATGTTGGTTAAAATGATTGATTTCATAAGTCGGTGCACGCATAAGCTAGTTAGTCTCGATATAAGCACGAGCTGACACCAGCAGCGGCGATAAGTCGTGAAAGATTCCCATGAGGCGTCCCGCATTGCCTCATCAGCACCTCGCTCCGTGCACACGCGAGCCACTTACCATTGTGCTACACATCACTATTATTATCAATAGCTCTTTGATTTAGGTCTCAAGGAAGGAATAAACTAGACATTATTTGAACAATAGACCAATCTGTACAAAAAATTTGGATGGGTGGTTGTTAGTTTATTACAGCAAAATTGCTGCACTAAATCTAGACTAGAACACAGGATTTTTAGACAAAGTCACTCGCTTTGGACGAAGTAGAAGAATCAGAATGTATTATTTTACATTATCTCAATCACAAAATTGCAACATCTGACCATTCTTTCAAGAAATTCGAGGTTTCTATCCATAGATTATGCGACTTGCTGTACAGAAAGCAATTGTTCAGTCACTGCGTCAACCATACAGTTAAGTTATAATAGTTTATACATAGTCAATTCACTTTGACAATTCTATTACAGACAACTGATGTTTATGAATCGAGATTGAGCACAGTTCCCATGGTAACGAAGCAACAAACACGACGCGACGCCACGACGCGACGCAACGCCCTGCGAGTGATAAACTGTCGCAAGTTGTTACTAAACTCTAATTACCTCACTCAATATCTTCAAGCCAATATTAAATTGGATTACGGTGAAAGATTACTAGACGCATTACCGATAAGCCTGTATTTTCTCTTTACTCCATTACGTACGCTTACTAATATTAGCAGCATCTTCATAAGATTTTTCTTCTACTTAACAACGTAAAATACCGTTGTTTAAATCGTTATTGCTGAGCGAGTGGTCTCGAGTTCTATTTTCTCTATTTTAAATATTATCAGGACTACCTAATATAGGGTATATAGAGTTCGAATAGCCACTAGGCTAAGCCCCTATGTACCTCTATGTATTATGTACCCCTTCGTAGATTAAAAATGATATTATATTATGTCATCCCACATATTTCTACAGAACATATCTGCGTCAGAACATGACGCAGATTTGTTCACAGCTTCTTCATCAGAGTATTATCTCACATTTTTTTCAAACTTAACAAAGGACCGAAGTAATATTATGTACGAATGTACGGAAATATAAAACTTTATGTTTCTATTCTATGCAGCCTCATGGCTTTCA